ATGGAATTGGGTGTCTGAGGGTGTCACTACTGAGAAACGTCAAACAAATTAAAAACCTTACATTTGAAAATAGGTTTGCATTCCTCCACTTAAAGTGACGTTATCATTGGAAACAATACAAACTAATTGTTTTGATGTAGAATCTATCAATTGAATCGTCAGAGCAGAACAGAATAGTCGTATTGTAGCCTGAGTTTTGGGCAGCCTCTAGTTTTACCAGGTGGAAACATGGTCCATATAATGTGAATACATGTAGAACTAAGAGGCCCCTGACATTAGGCCTATTTTAAAAATAGTAGGGGCTTTTAACAGCTTGCCAATTAACAGGCATCCTCTGCATAGCAGTATGAATAGCCTTAAAAAACAACCCACTCTGCGGTAACGAGAGTCCTGTATCTGAACCAAATGCCCTAAGTGAAGCCGTTAGTCCCATCTGACTGACCCAAGGGTTGGTGCTGGTGTGACAGGGAGGCTTCCAAGTGTTCAAAGCAGATGTCAAGCTTTCAGTTCATGGCTCGGTGGGGGGAGTGGCCCACGTGAGACAGTATCAACGGCTGTAATGTTCAGTTTGAGGAGCGTCATTCTCTCTGGGAGCAGGAAATGGTGTCCATTCTCGGACCAGACCATTAATGTCATTTCATGTAGAGCAGCCATAGCATCTCTGTGACTGCACTTAGCCGGACTGTCAGAACTGGGTGACTCTTAGTGAAGCCGTCCAAGGCCATAGACAAAATGGAACCACGTACCAACAAAAGGGACACAAGGTCATCAATGTCTCTCTTTACCATTGGCCTAATTGCACAACAAATTAGTGGAAAAAAATGTGGAACACTAATCCATCATCATGTGAAATTTTGAGTTAATCTAAATAATTACTTATGGGTTGAAATCAAATTAACATTAACATTAGGACTAAAGTCAGTCAAAATTGGACTTGCACGGATCAGAATCTAAGCAATACACCATTTTCCCAGCTCTATAATGAAAAGGATAACAAGATTAGGTACTTTACAGGAGTGTTAAAACACCCAAACATGCACACGTATCTTATTCTAGTAGAGATTAGAGGACACGTCTAATGTTGTGAACAAAATGATCAAGTCAAAGTTATTTTATTTATTCTATGTTATGTACCACATTTAATTTAATAATTAATCTTGAAATACTAATAACTTTAAAGAAGGCAACAATTTACAATGTGGATAAGGTGAATACTTATCCAAAGGGTGTGTGTGTGTGTGTGTGTGTGTGTGTGTGTGTGTGTGGGGGTGTGTGTGTGTGTGTGTGTGTGTGTGTGTGTGTGTGTGTGTGTGTGTGTGTGTGTGTGTGTGTGTGGTGTGTGTGTGTGTGTGTGTGTGTGTGTGTGTGTGTGTGTGTGTGTGTGTGTGTGTGTGTGTGTGTGTGTGTGGGTGTGTGAACAGCTTGTCTGCCCAAGGTTTAAAACATTTGGGACCGTAGTAAGAATGTTATGAGAACCAATATGTTGGTATATGGTATTTAAAATTGGGCTCGAGTAGAACCCCTGGATTTGGCTTGCAACACAAAGTGATACTGATCTCTGTAGGACTTGGAAGTGTCATGATTCAAAGTGTGGGCCTGTGAAAGAGAGGCCCTTGGAAAACAACATCTATTTTTTAACTGTAATTACTTATTTTAAAGAGATTGCCCAAGGTTTAAAACATTTATTATGCACACAATAAAAACTTCAACAAATATATTGATCCTGGCTTAACCAGCGACCATTACTCTATTGTTCATAAGCTCGGTTTCAGAAAACTTGTCAGTAGTTTAACAACTATTTTAATTTTAGTAATGTCTATGGAGACCAATTGGTTGAACTAATTTGAAGCAGTTTAATAAAGAATGTTAAACTATTTTTAAAACTGTAATTGAACTTCAACTTATATTAATTACCTGATTCCAGTGGCCAGTTGGAATAGACAATCAACAAAGGTTCCATTTTGCAGCAACAGCGCAAAATGTTTCAACAACAATTAGTATTATGTCTGAGTCTAGTTCTGTCTTATCTGCTTTGTTTCGGAATGTGTTCAATACATTACGTTTTTATTCATTATTACCATACAATACATAGATTAAGAATAAATTAGCAATATAATCTTCTTTTCTTCTTACACCTACAGCGCACACCCTGCACAGTGGGCTTCTTGTTTACATTTTCCCCTGCACACTCAGAGGCAGGACATAAACACACTCTTTTGCTATTTATTTTCATTTTGCAGCACATTTATACTACCATAATTTTGCTTTACATCTTTATATTATTTATTTTTCTCAAGTCATTTACTTTTGGTGAGATAACTAAAGTTTAGTTCATTTTACCCTGTCTATGGACTGATTCATTATTAGTTGTTACAAAACATACACAAGACGGCGGGTAGACAAACCAATATAGACCCCCCATACAAACAATCAGACAAACAAAACATGAACTCGTAATAAACACCAGCGTGACAGCAAAGCTCATTGAGCTCAATTTAGTCCGAATTAGGAGGTTTCAGAGGGGGTAGGGAATTATGTCTAGTGGGGCGCCTTGACTCGCGCGTCCACCCTTGTATACAAGTGCTAAGATCGTGCCTGAAGACCGTCCAAAAGCGATAACTAGCTTATCCTCTTGCGACAACCACTACTCCATCAGTGGCACTATGAACCCCCGACCAGGAGAACATAGACTTTTTTCCGCTACCCTTTCTCTCCAACAACAGCACGGTTGACTGTAGTCCTACTCGACCAGCCTATACACTTGCTATCGAGTTCATCACAACGATGAAACACAGTTTTGTTCTACACTTGCTTGCCACTGCCCACCCGTGATCAATTAGCCTATAATTTTATGTATGCACCCCGGACCGCCACCAGCTCCTCTAGCAATGTATAGGGAACTGTGGCGCATCGGGTGATGCACGCACCTCGCGCTGCTCCGTCTTACCATGCACGTAGAAAACGGTCACAAACAACGAGTGCTTTTAGACCATCTCGTTTTTAATAGAGACGGCGGTGGTATGAGTTAAAGCTATAGACAAAAAGCTGTGACTTTCTCCCTCTCGGCTGCACTTCTCCAGCCCCACAAACACGGGGAGGTTTTACACACACACCTGCGGCAGCTGGAGCCGTGTTTACAGAGGCAATAGGAGTAATATCTCTGGCTGCTTATTTTCAACTGCTGTGTTGGCCGCTGAAACCCCCAGAATTTGGCGATTTGTCCAATACAAATCTTTACATTGCTTTCATACAGAAGCTCCACTTTACTGATGCCTTTCTTTAAGGTTTCTCTAAACATGAGCTGTGCATACTTGTATGGCACTTTCGTCCCGAGCAGCTACACAGAGGAAATCAGCCAGGACTGAGTCCCCAGACACTGATCCCCTGGGTTTATTATCCCCAAATGTTCATTAACCAAAAACGAAACACAGCCGCTCAGTTTCACAGGTAATTTTAGGATACCGTCAATCACAGATTCTGGTAAGGCAATGTCCAAATGTAGATTTGAAATTACACTTACCAGTTCTGAAGATGTGTTGGTATCCTGCCGACAACGCCAATTTGTAAGGGAAACTTCTGTGTAGCAATGCAGTGGGAGTCACCGACTCAGGAAAGAGACACGGGAAGAGCAGGAGCTTTGATGTCAAACACTGATGGTTTATTTGGAGCTTCGGCCAGAGAATTCACATCACAAGTCACAGCAGCCAGAGGTTCTGACTTCACGGTAGAGTTGCCACGTCAATTCTGAAGAACTCTACCTCAGACCCATGTATTTAGCTAGTTCAGAGAGCATCATCAACATGCTGCATAACAAGATAGAATCATAACACCTCTATCAGCTGACGCCAACAGGCAGGAACATAAAATCATAACACCTCTATCAGCTGACGCCAACAGGCAGGAACATAGAATCATAACACCTCTATCAGCTGACGCCAACAGGCAGGAACATAGAATCATAACACCTCTATCAGCTGACGCCAACAGGCAGGAACAGGGAGACAAAACACTGAGAGCACAGCAGCCAAGGTTACGAGGTGCGTGTGCTCAGTCAGGACAGTTTGAACTGATAAACTGGGTCAAAGTTATGGGCCTTGGAAAATATTTCCCCAACACAGATTATTTCAGTTCATCGAAATGCTGCACCTTAATGTTTATTTTATTATATTTTGTATTTATTTGAGTGAATACATTATTCACAGTTTAATAATGATACAAAAAAAATATATGTATTTTATGTTTTGTGATAATTGTTTCTGCTGTACCGAAAACGTACCGAACCGAACCGTGACCTAAAAACCGAGGTACGTACCGAACCGAAATGTTTGTGAACCGTTACACCCCTATTATGTTCTACTGCAAAGTAACAACAAAGTGTTTGGAACTGCTGCAATAGCATTGTTGTATCTTAAACATTTTTCATTGACCAGTCTTTACACTCTGCCAGAGCCCATACTGTGTTCCCTCGAGTGTTTACTTCCTGTCTGTCTTCTTCTACTGATTTCTCTATCACCCAACCTCCTTCCTTCTCTCGCGCAGTTTTCTTATCCTTGTTCTATTTTTCTTTTCTTTAATGCCAATAGTTCAGCTGTCATGAATTTAATGTTTCATGCTCTTCAAAGATATAAACAATGATTATTCAAAAAATGTCTGCTCATAATCCCTCGATCAAAGTAATCTTATCAACGTTCTGCTTTCCTTAGTAGCGGTCTAACGTAAAAAAAAAAGAGCAGACTGCCAAATGTCAAAATTGACCAATCAGAATCTAGCATTCAACAAAGCAACTTTATACTAATTACAATAAATACCTATAAAGTCTGCATGTTTTACTCCTTTTGTAGGAGAGTTGGTGGGGCCTTTCATATTGTGTCGACTGTCTCAAACACAACCTCTTGGCAGTGTATTTGTGGCCGTTTTTCTCCTCCAAGTCCAGGTGCCTTGGGTGTGTTTCAAGGATATATTACTTATTCTAAATCTTCTTCTTTTTTTCTATCTGTAAGCCCTCCCTCAGTGGGTCAGAATGATTAATGATACCCAGATGGATAGTGGAGAGAAGCTCCAATGGGAGTGCAAGGCCATGGGGAGGCCCCGGCCCACCTATCACTGGCTGCGGAATGGTTTGCCCTTGACATCCCAGGTACGTTCCCTAATACACACTACCCTCTCCTTTTGTTGATTGTACCTGATGCATGTACATGCCCACTATATGCAGCATTATCACTTTAAGTCTATATTTAGATATTATGTTCTCTGATTCTTTTTTATTGTTACAGGGTCGTATGGAAATAGTGAATGGCGAACTGACTATTCACAGAGTGCAGCAGACGGACTCGGGAATGTACCAGTGTGTTGCGGGAAATAAATACGGGTCCATCAACTCTAATGCTGAACTCAAGATTTTAGGTGATTTCACATTCTGTTTATTCTTTATATTCGTCCAAAAAGGACATTTAAATCATATTTTGTGTTATTTTTATGATGCCAAGGACATGACATTCTTGATACTCTCCAATGGTAACAACTGCAGACTGAGTATTGGCATCTGAATAAGGTTCCGGATGATAGGTAAGGGAGATTGAAATGCAAGTGTGGAACGCTGAACTGGGAGATGTGCTGATTGCCAATCAATGGTCCCTGATTTAACCCAGACAGGGGACGGCATGAATAAAAGAAGGTCTCTCATGGTTATATTCAATGAGCTGCCTGCACGTATCAAGTTGAGGAAAGTCTGGAACAGTTCTTGGTTATATCTGAGGTGAACGAAAAGCAATGACTTGTAGATATAGATTTATACTAATGGGAGCAAACACTCGAGGAGAGACATCAATGGATTCTTTGATGGAGTTTAATGAGTCCATTAGAGTCTTATCTCCGCTTTATCGTTTGTCATCAAAGCACAGCCTCCATCACAATTACAAAACAAACAAACCTCTATTTTAGGCATGACTTTTAATAGGTAGTTATTAGCCAGTGTTTGCTATTTGATCTCTACTTTCATCTGTTTTATAACTGTTAGTGTGATGGACACTAAGTAATGTTTTTAGGGTTTGTTGATTGTTATGTGTGAAATTGCCGAGGGACTGCAGATGGGAAAGCTTAAAGCTAAAATCTGGAGATTCATGTATTTTATTCGTTCAACAAAGAAATACAAAGAAAATAATATATAGGTGCTGGGCAAAGATTAACCTTTTGAATCACAATTAATCACATGATTTTCTGCGATTAATCACATTGTTATGCGCAACATTCTATAATTAATTCAAAAGTAGTGTATGCCGCACTTTTATTTTAAGTACTGCTATATATGAACAAAAGTGCAATATCATTTGGTTTGCAAACACAAATAGGTGCTTTTGACAGCAGTATTCCCTTTACACAGTAGCAGTTAAACAATGTCTTGTAAATGTAAACTAAAACATGAATTAATGTATCACATCAAATATAAAACCAAAGCTATGTTCCATTGCCAGGGCATTAACGTGTTATGTTGTTGGTTATAAAACAAGTTACCCTCAGAGTCCAGTGATAGGACAATTCTACTTTGCATTGGTTACAAATAACTTTGGTCTATCATCTCTGGAAGATATCTAAATTGTCCATGTAAGAGTTTGGTTCCTTTCTCCATTTTTCTGGCCAGCAATCTTAGGCCCACCCAAAATGCTCTCATTGGTTGAGACGTGTGATGACGCCCACCCTAAGCCAATACTGATCAACATTTTCACCCTGTGAGCAGCAGACTTTCAAAATAATAATAAAAAAAAAACGTAATGCGCAATAAAATAATTGTAGCCGTTAATTAATTGTAGCCGTTAATTAATTAATGCGATAATAATTTTGCCCATCCCTAATATATATATATATATATATATATATAAAAAAAATTTAAACAGCAGAACAGGAGTCACATGTACTTGAAAATGTTCGGGGCACTAAAAGCCAAGGGAACTGTGCTCTTTAAACGCACATGTATGGCTCCAGGCTGAAAACATAACCGACTGTCCAATGTTCTGTGCTGATGCACTATTTTCTCCCTGTCATCTTCTATACCGGGATACGTCTGGTGACACCCATTCCCCTTTCATATTTCCCAGAGGGACAGTTTGATTTACTGTCTGTGTGGCATGGCCTTTTTTGAAGGGGAATCTTTGGCATTTTGAAAATCTTATTGCAAATGGATGTTTTTTTTTGTGGGAAAAATCTATACATTGTTTGTCTCTTAAAACATTAGATTGGATTCATTTTAAAACAGCCACTTTTAAGTCTTCTCGGTGTGATCTACACGAGTGAAAAGTTTATATTTTTATTAAGTTTTATTTGACCTGACGAGGAAGTGCTTTTGCCTTCCTTTGAGTCACTGTCACAATGATGGTATTTGGTAGCTGGTGATGAATGTTTTCATAACTATGCCCCCCAGGCATGTCTTCCAAGTGACCTGTGCTCTGCAGAGATGTCCTCAAGCAAACACTATCAGGACAGATTACATGGCTAATACCAGCCTGCAGATGAGCGATCACTGGAGGCCAGGCGGGGGCAGCGGCTGCCTCCATGCCTGTGATCGTGTCCCAGATCCAGCTCTTCTGGGAGGGTGGCGGGTGAAGCAATAAGGGCACTGCTGCCACCAGCTGCAGGCCTGCTCTTATTTTGATTAAAACAAATACTCACAGCAACTGCTCTGTTTTCTGCTGCTCTCCGTGTCTAGAGGGACCTCTGCCACTCAGGCAACTACTCAGCCTCAAAGACACAAATGTTTCAGGGAGCAGGGTCAGCCTGTAGCTACACATGGGATTGAATTGTCATTGCAAATAATGTCACCTTTAAAGCATCATTCGGGATTAGAATAATCACAGTTGACAAAGCCTCGCAGCCTGTGAATGGCCTTGATGTGTAATACAGCTGTATACCACTACCACATCGACTTAAGTGCCTGAAGCCTTATTTAGAACATTAGTGCCTAATGTATTCTCTCGAGCTACAGTAGCTGTGAATGTTAAAATAAATAAATATGTATTTATTATTCACTCAAGTGGCCTGGTTAAATATGGGTTAAAAACATAAAGCAGTACAAATCATCACAGCATGTCATCATTAACATTATGACAGCTTTTGAGTAATTAGGCGGCACAATAGATTTGTAATGGGTACTGAATTAGCACAGAGATAAGACCAAGTATACCACATTATACAGTACATTGAAAGCATGTTTAGCCATTGTTTGTATAAAAGCATGCTTTGTAATTATTCACATTGAAAATCGGGTTATTACTTTAAAACAAATTAGCATTTTGATCAAGCAGCTGCATGAGTCATGATGTGTCAGTTAAAACCCTCTAGCATTTTTGAAATAATTACTTTGAAATGCCACAGTTGAAGAGGTTCGACAAGTATGTTGAAACATATATTACATTTTAGCAGCCTCGCAATTAATTAAAACTATATTTAAGACAAACTCACAGAAACTGAAGTTATTCAGGTTGTGTTCAGGTGTTACTTGCCATTGTTGGTTTTCCGTTGAGCCGAAAACAGCTTCTCACATTTTTACAAAGCAGCTTGTCTTAGTATTTAATTTTTTTTAAATAACAAATAATATAAAAATACATAATTTGTTTAGCGCATTTACTGGTTGTCAACAACGCTATCTAAAGATAGATTTAAAACAAATACATATATGATATTACATATCTTACAAAGAAATTACTGAACATAATTCCTATCATCATACTGTATCTTAACTTATTAAAACATTGAATTAACCATGCTTTTTATGACAAGAGCCACACTTGGAAATAATACATCTCGTAAATAGTATAGAAGTGTGTGGGCTGATATGACTTTATTATTTTCTGTCTCTCTCTTTAAATGTAAACAACACATTTTTTGTGTCTGTCTTTCACAGCATTGGCTCCTGTCTTTGTCCATAATCCTGTGCGGGTCATTGCTACACTTGGAAAAGATATATTGCTAGAATGTAAACCCAAAGCATCGCCCAAACCACGGATAACATGGAAGAGAGGAGACCGGAGGATACAGCAAAGCAGAAGGTACAGCAACTCTTAAGCATTGTGTGAGTGTGTGTTAGTTATAATTATTTTTTATATGATCTAATAAAAATGCATTGTGCTATTGATCCATGTAGGAACAATTCTCCATTTAAACAGCAAAGCTGGCAAAGGTTTCTGCAAGTCCTTGAAAATGAAATGAAATTGTCTGAAATTGAAGCCTAAAACGGTCTAAAATGTTCTCTCATACAATTTGATAGTTCTTGAAAAAGAATCCTCCACCGTTGTGTTAACTTTAAATAATAAAGAGAGGGCTGTCAGAATTCATTTTTTGCTCGGCCGGAGAACTGACCCACAATGGATAATTTCCCACCATGAATAAAGGTTCTGCACCCTGCTCATAATTTACTCTAACACATCCATGAAGCATTTCACAATCTCCATGATGACTGCTTTGTGCTTTAGAAATTAGTTTCATTAGGTGGCAACTCATTTTTCTTTATGCCTCTGCCAGTATGAATGGTTACATATAGTAATAACATATAAACAAGTTCATTATATGGTCTTGAAAAGGTCTTAAAATTAACTTGAAACCCTGGACCAGTGAGTCCACAGACGTATGACCTCAAACCAAACCAAAGCTCAAGCTTAATTTACAGCTCAAAATGTTAAAATAGTGTTGTTTTTATTAAAGCAACATGTATGCTCCGACAGATCAATATTAATGCAAATGTATGGCTGAACTTTAATATCTGACATGTGTCATTCACTTGTAACACTGTCTGCTGTGGTTAATATAACCAGATATATTTAAAACGTGATACAATCTTTATAAATGCAATAAAAACTAGAAAATGTCCCTCCATGTAATATCTCTATAGTAATGATCTGCTTAATGCTTTTTATGGGCATTCAAAATAGCAATATTCTATGTGAAGACACCCTAGAAATTAAATTCATCGGGATAGGCTGTGTCATATATATTAACCAGAGCTCTGTTTTAAATAGTTTACTTTTTTTTTGTTCCTCTGCACAGTTTAGAGAAAAGAACATTATATGAGAAAGTTAATTGCCCTGTAAAATATGTATGAAGTCATGAAAAGTTTGTCTCTCCCGAAAAAAAAAAAATTCATCATAGTTCCACTGCGTAACTTCAAGTGTTATCATTACGGCTCTCAACCCTCAGGAATTGCATACATGTCTTGTTGTAACACATCAAAGTTTCATTACTGTAACCAAAATTAAGTGTCACTGCTAGAATAAAACACCTTAGGTACAGGAAAGCTCTGGAGACACGTCCATAGCCCCCCTCCTTCTCATGGATGCTGACAATTTAGACCGTACAATTGCATTTGGAATTCACACGCAGTTTGATGCATCATCTTTTATGAGAAACATTTCTCCGTCGCTCCTAGAGGGGGCTTAGCGGGGCGAGGATCCATCAATCAAACTGAGAGACACCACTGAAATACTCAGTCACTGCTGAGTGTCCCGAGTTCTGAGGGAGAGAAGATTCAGCTGTCTGTTCCACAGTCTCGCAGCAAAAAGCCAGTTGATAATCAGATCTGTGAGTGTCCTTCAAAGAGCCAGCGACTTAACTTCAGGCCAAATTGAAAAGCAGGGGTAGACATTAAGGGTAAAAAGCCACTGGCCCTCCGGGCCGGTGGAATTGTATTGTCACTGGCCCCACCATTGTACCCACTGGCCCGGAGCATTCGTCCAAAAAAATAAATAATCGACTATAATGAAGAAAATTAACACATTTGTTGCAATAGTAATTTATGCACTATAACTACATTACTACTTGTACTACAACATTTGAACAATCAGTTCTTCCTCATTTTCCTCAATTGTTCATATTTGGTTTATTAAAATAATGATATTGTGGTCATTGTTAAAAAATGTCTGCTATTATTATGAGTATTATTATTTGTATAATGCACTTTGTGCCTTCCTGTCATTAGGAGTTAGAAATGTAATGGCTATAGATTAGATAAGATCCTTCATTATTCTAAACTGCTGGGACATTTCCCTATAGCCAATACCTTTATATTTTCTACTCTTCACTTACTTGTCAGCATAGGTCGGCATTGATGTACAGAGCCGACAGAAGACCTTGTTTATATTGGCATCATATTGAGAGGTGCAGCCAGTGACGCGTCCTAAAACCAGGAAGTAAGCTGCTGGTTCCCTCGACAAAAAGCAATGGGATTTCTCCACAGGGTTTTGGAAAATAGCTGGAAATAAGGTCTGTGGAAAACAAACCTGTTTGATAAATGCACGTTTTGTTCAGCCGGATAATCTCCACATGTCTACCCTACTTTTATAATTTTCGAATCATAAATCTAATCGATAGATTATAAAAGGGTTTTAGGACGCGTCACTGCACCACTCTATCGAAGCCAACTCCATCGATCAAGCTGGCTGAAACTTTCTCTCCCTCTTCTTCTCATGCTCCCTGTCACTCTCCTTTAACTCCTCCGGTGACTTTCTTTTATTTGAAGATTGTTTTTTGCCCGGCGCTTGGCCGGTTACCGCTGGTATTAAAAACATTTTGGCGAATGGTTAGGTGGCTCGATAGTCTGTAGTGAAGGAGCATGCTCCGCAGCAAACAGCTGTTTGCTTTTCACCCAACAATGACAAGCGACTCACGAAACGCTATGTTGTAGCGTTTATAAACAAAACAATTTAACAAAATTGCTAGTCAAAATACCAATACCACAGGAAACATTTTTTTTTAAACAATATTTTTAGTGGCCCGAGCGGGCAAGTGGAAAGTACGTTATGCTGGCCTGCGGTGTCTAAATAGTGCTTCCGGGCCAGCGGGCCATTTATAATGTCGAGCCCTGACTGGTCATTTCAAAGGTTGGTGCAACTTAATCTTCCATTAAAGAAAAGTGGTCCTCATCACTAATTTTGGGTGTCTGTTCTCTATAAAAAACCTGGCTACAGTGAAACTGATGGATGTGGATGAGTCTGTGAGTGTGTTGCCCCTAAATGGTGATTAATGACCCTGGCTTGTCTCGATCTGATAAAAAGCCTTTGAGGTATTTTTCAAACTCTGGCAAATCTATTTTGCAGTGGTTTTGGCGTGCACCGCGGGGAGAGTCATACCTGTCCGAAAAACACCTTGATCTTGTTTTCATCTGACTTCTGATAAAGTGGTGTCTGATCAGAAAATTGTTCACGGACGTTATTGGCAAAGTAGTTAATTTCTTCCCCTCAGAGTAATTCATCATTCACTATTAGGTGCTGGCATTGTATACAAGCCGTATGTGGTCTAGTTTCCTCGAAATGTGTACAAAATGTCATCGCGGCTGTGTTACTTTTATACCAGAATAGAATGTTTGACACATCTTAAAGGTGATTCTGTACAGTGCGTTAATGAGCTGGATCACAATGGTTGAGGGGTCAACGCTCATCTGGAGATCAACCTTGTGAAAGGGTGATTTGTATCTGAAAAAGGTGAAACGAACAACCTTCTTAGGTCTTGGTCAGGGTGACTCCTGCAAGGATTTTCTGCCACTACCCATAATAAAGTAAAGAGTTTATGGATGGAGAGACGTTCTGTTCTTAGAAGAGCGGGGGAGGAATCGAAACAGCTTCACGTTTATCTGGCATTGACAGCTGTGCTGACTTAATGAAGGTTTGTAATTAACATGGATTTCCGCTAATGTTCAGGGCTTTTGTCTCTTAAACAGAAAGTATTAATCCCATTAGTTTGAGAGAATGTGGCAGACTCAGTCAAAACCCACGGACTCTTTGTTTAACAGCCAGACAGTGCATGATTTTGCCATTTGTGTAAACATAGAGAAGTTGTTTTTTTTATGTGAAAAATGCAGTCTGCTTGGCTTGATATCAGAAACTCGCCCCATCATGGTGTGATCTTCTGATGTTTCCTTGAAATATCCTAAGGTTGAATGTATTTGCATATTCTGTATGCCCAACAGTCCCTTTGTGTCCTTTCTGCCTCGGTGTCCTTGTTGAATGTGAATTACCTTCTCAATTTGAAAAATGTCTCCTGGCTGCAGATTGCTTCTGAATTGTCTGAATGTGTGGCGAGATGTTGCCACGCCTTTGTGAGTTTCTCTGTGCCAATTTCAATCATTTTGTCCATGATGAAATGGCTTACTGCAGTAAATATAAATGCCAAACAATATGAAGTCGAATACTTCATAACAGCTCCAGCATTTTGACTGTTTGCTTTTGAATAAAATCAATATGCTATTAAAAACAAATACTTTTTAAAATATGCATTACCACCTCGGTATGGAAGGCATCATTTAAATGTGATATACATACGTACCACAATAATAAAAAGTGTTTTCACAGGACACTTCACTATGCTATACATATATATGTATGCTTTTCCTCTAAAGCCACCATATGTTATTTACAAGTCTGAGCGACATGTTTATACAGCGTTGCTTTTGTCCTTAAATTGCATAAGAGGCTACTTATGTTATGAATGCAGGTGTGGTGTTGTTTCTTCTCTCTATTACACTTGTTTTTCCCTGGGGGGGAATCTCAATGATATCCACTTCTGGGTTTGACAGCTTCAGATGCACTGAATGCAGGAATACTTATGGTCTGTCGGGTGGTTTCATAAACAGTGTGTGTGATACATGCGGAACAAATAATACATGTATAGAAATTTGAATGCAGAGGGACAAATAATCAAAACATCTATTTTATTTCAACTTGTGTAGTGCTCTCCACAAATTATGCTTTGAAACTGTCCTTTCATGGATTTTAAACGATACTGTAATTACTCTAATAGAAGCCCATTGTGCTCTTTCAAAGGCATAAGATCAGATATAGTGCATCATTGGACCCTAATTGAAAGTCAGAAGAGTTTCTTTGTTCCAAACATTGCTTTGATGTCACTTTTTTTTTTCTGAACATGTGTCCCCGTTACCTTTATATATCTTTAGTATAATCAGTGTTTTATCATGTTCAAGATAGGACTACTTAGTGGTATCTGCAAATCAGGTTCATTAACATATTCCAATGGTCGATTGATTCTGAGTGGAAAGGGTTTATTTCCGTCTCTCTTGTTGAAGGTTACATACAATCACTTCACATCCTTCACACATCCCTCAGTCCTCTAAGTATTTACACAAACAACATACTGTCAAATACTTTTTCTGTTCTTCAATTCAGTGATAATAATTTGCTAGCGGTAAACACTATTTTGTTTTATATGTTCCACTGCAATCTCTAGTGGATGATCATTTCAAGGATATCTGAGCAGTTTATTTTATCTCATCCCAAGTAAATATTTATATTCTTGTAACCCAACACGACCACAAGCATAAAACCTCATGCCTAAACATGTCGAACAACTCATCATACCTGAATTAGTTTTTCATACCAGTATTGATTTGTGTGTCCTTTCTCACAGGATTATGTTGCTACGGAACAATACTCTGAGAATTGTTAACTCCAGCCGAGCAGATGAGGGGAACTATGTGTGCCGGGCCGAGAATGAGCTGGGCTCGGCGGAGATGACTGCCGTATTGTGGGTAAAAGGTAAGTGATGCCCTGGGGGCCTTTATTTTCTGCCAAATTAGCACAAGTCAGCCACCAGTAAACAGTCCCCAATGTAATTTCCCCCCCCCTTACCTTTGCTCGGGTGCCAGGAAATGTATTGTACTTGCTCAACCGTGAACCAAGGCCTCTCACATTCAAGAATCATATTACAAGGACACACTTTTACAGCGTAAAGGCCTGAGTCTCATAGATGCACTGCACACCACACTCCAGATCAAAGCAAAGCAGGATATTTGTTTGATAAAGGTGACGCTCAAGCTGTGGTTGGCCCAATCGTGACTGCTCTGGCGGTGATGTCACAGTGAAACACAGCTGCTTGGCGCTATATCTTCTGGTTAGCCTGAGGTGACAGTGTAGCAGCTTTGTGCTTCCAGAGGCCATGCGTGTGGAGCTTAGCCCGATCCGAGTGGAAGTGACTGTGGGGGAGAGCGTGGTGCTGAGCTGCAAGGCCGCCCATGACACCTCGCTGGATGTGGCTTTCCAGTGGTTCTTCAACCAGAGGCCCATCAACTTTCAACAGGACGGTAACCACTTCGAATACATCCAAACAGTAAGAGCACGAGTAAGAGCAAAAGTAAGACTATGAGTAAATGTATTATATTGGTTATGTACCTATCTATGTACAAGTCTATCTGTCTTTTTTTGTTCATCTGATAACCCTCCTATTGTGTTCATTTCTCCCCCCTTACTCTGGTTTTCCGGGTCAAATTTGACCGGTCTGTTTTAACTGCTATTACATTAACACAAAAACCATTAATCATCACCAAATTGTATTTAACACCCCTTTAAGCTGTCAACAATGTCTCAGACTACTGGTTTATGTGAATAACTTCAGTAAATGTACATACACTGAAAATGGACATACACTGAAATCTATTCCAAACTTAACATTTTGTTGATTTGTGGGTGCACATGTGTACTATCTGATTGATGAACATAATTGAGGGTTAACCCCTCATTTTTGACTGGGAACATCATAGGTGTTAAGAAGACTAAACCACTACAATTCTATGAAAGTGGTGATCCAACCCAGTCTCCTCAGTCTGCATACAAATAACACAACGTTACTCTTTGGAAATGCTTGCAATTGATACAACCGTTAATCAGCAATTGCACATGTTCATATACCTACTGTGGAGAATATCTTAGGGCCTTGAAGCAATCACATGTAAAACACAATATTTATGATTGATGAAAGTAGTAAATCGGTCAGATTTGACCCGAACACGACAGGAGGGTTAAGTGTTGAAAAATAGCATTTGTGATCAGTAACATAATTATGTATGATAAAATATATTGACCTTGAATTGCAATTGTATCTTTTTGGGAAAAATGAAAACACAAATAGAAACTCATACTTGCTTTGAAAAGTATTATGGCTTCAAAGTCACTCATAAGTGGTTTTGAATGACGAATAAAAAAGGAATATAGTAAGGACAATTATGCTAATATTGAAACTTCAACATGCTTCTGTTAATCAAATCACGGCTTTGAAAAACATGCTAATGAATCCATTCACAAACTCCACCAAGAATAGTCAGGCGCCTCCTGAATTGCAAGTCTGTGAGTGATTGTTTCCGTTGTTCTCTCTGACTTCAGTCATCAGGAAAAGGTCAGAGGACACAAGGTCAAGGATCCTCTGAGGAAGATGTTGCACATACTGAGCAAAACAATAAATCCTCCCAAACAAAAAGGCATTTAACCTTTGACATCCTCCAATATCAGGGCTTCATTGATACCATTGCACCTCTTCCTTTTCCTGGACCCTTTCTATTGTTTGAGTTTTTCTTTTTCTTTGGTTTACCGTATTATTAACTGCACTGAAAAAACTGAAACATTGACTTTGATTAAATCTATTATGTCAACTAATGTCACACTACTGTATTAGGTTAGTTCCAAGCAATAATATTAAAGGTGGGGTAGGTAATTTTGGAGAAACCAGCTTGAGTGCGCTAGAATTTGAAAATACACAACCGGAAAAAATCTGCCACTTCCTTACAGAGCCCCTCCTCCAACACACACGAACGCGCACATGACCAATGAGGGCACCAGATAAGTTTGTGCACAGATGGAAGGCTGACAGGCAGGTAGGCCATCCAGTTACTTTAGCCGGGCCGGCTCAGATGATTGGTCGTGCTTTTTACAGTATTACGGCTTCCACAGATGACATTTTTGTATGGATTTTTTGTCAAAGAACTTAAGATATTCATTGCTATCGGGATGTTAAGAGCATCCATGGAATATAACAACAAGTTTATCTCGAGCCGGTTTCTCAAACTTACCTACCCCACCTTTAAGTTAAACCTAATATATTTGATTTAATCTTAATATGATTGCTTTAAACCAGTGCTTCTCAAAGTGTGGTCCGCGGACCACTGATGGTCCGTGAGCGCCCCCTAGTGGTCCGTGAGTATATTGGTAACATTTCACATTTGAAATAAATAAATTCATTTAAGTTTTCCGCACTCTCGCGGGAATATCTCCGCAATGGAGCGAGCTTAAGTTTCATGATATGGCCCAGCGCAACACCTTCATCACACATGTTGCCACTTGTTTGTACCATTTTCAGGCGATTTGTAATCTGTTCTAGAAAAACGATGTGTTTTTGGATATTTGTGGAGTTAGGTGGTCCGCGAGTGTTTTTGTATTGGTTAAGTGGTCCTTGGTATGAAAACGTTTGAGAAACACTGCTTTAAACTAACCTAATACAGTTGTGAAATCTGTTGACATAATGCTTTTAATTAAAGTAATTGATGTGTGGACATATCAATTATTGTAGGCTAAACTGAAAATGTTGAGTTTAGTCCTATGGATTTATTTTTTTATTTTAAGATGCATCATTTTGAAAAGTACATTTCCAGTACAAAAGGACCTTTTGACTATGTACATGTAGTCTTTAAAGAAACAAAACATTTACTGACTTTTTTGGATAGCTTAAAGTGATGTTGTAAAATAACAACCGGGGGCCTTACAGGGTTAAACAAGCGTCATTTACACTTATATTTGTACAAAGAAACATTTCCAATCTCCATAATACAGAAACTATTGGACACAAACCATAAAATGAAGTTGAAAACAAATGTACCAGAGAGCAGGAAGTTCTCTTTATGTCACCATTCCTTCAGTGGATGTTAAAATCACATCTGTCCTGTGCGTCCTCTGCTACTACCAATGCTCTGGAGAGAAAGTATTTGCAGTGACAATCCTTTACACAATAGATTCCTGGCTGATGCATGGTGTGTAATTTTAATCAGGTTTCTTGCTAAACGGCTGCCTGTAGACCTTGAATTATTCCCAGCCTTGCCTTAGGCGATTCTCATTTCAACAGAGAAAATAGGAGTAGCTGAAGAATGTAGCAAGCGAGCACCTGAATTAAACAGGAATCTCTCAAGCCACATGAGCCTTTACAAGATGTAAAGGCATCACACTTATTTTTGTCAAGCACATTTAGGCTTGCTTAATACCTAACTTGTTTGTATTCTATTCCTTCCGATTGCAGCAGTCGTCCACAGTGGACCTGATGATCAGGAGTATTTTGTTGAAGCATGCTGGGAAGTATGGGTGTCGGGCCCAGACCAGCGCCGACACTGTGTTTACAGAGTCTGAACTCCTTGTGCGAGGTGAGCTTGTCATGTGTCGGTAGAACAGTACTATGTGACGTCTTGTTCAGTCTTTCGAGCAGGCAGTGACTCTCTCAAATCAAATCAAGTTTTATTTATATAGCACATTTATAAACGATTTTTAATCGAGCCAAAGTGCTGTACATATAATAAAAATAGCCTACAGTAGAGACACTTTACAGCTAATACAACAGCACAGATCTCTGCCCCCTTTAAACGGAACCACTAAACCGAAAATCACATTTATTTCTTACTGAGTTATTCTTGGCAAGCTTAGTCCAGTGGAAATGGACACAACACTGTGAATCTAGCAAATTGGCTCCAATTTGTGCCGCTGCTTTGGGAAGTTTTCTAATGACATCAGACATTAAATATTTGCTCTTGATAGAGACAATTGAACAGCACTTTTTCCACATTATTGCCCCCTTTTTAACCTTCTGATCTTGCTTAATTTGTTATAGCCACTGTGAGTAAGGCAGACAGACGGTCTGTCTGCATGAACAAGTTTAGTGTGTGCTGTTAAACAGATGAATGGCTAAAATGGCTAGTGATCAGATTCTGTGGCTGTTTCTGATTGTTGCTGATGATGTGATGAAAAGGTTATCATGCACACAGATGCTGTAATATTTTGAGGCTATGACCTCACATACTGTTTACACATTTTTCTTTTGAGATGTCAGGCCTGGAAATGTGTTAATGTCTTCTTTTGTTGTGCTTTAGCAGAAACAGTGATACTATGGGGCAACACATGCTTTTTCACACAGTGTTACATCATTTTTTCAAACTAGTGAAAAGAGAACATCCAAACACACATTATAGTGTTTTTTTACGACACTTTATTTTTTCCATATGCAGATTAGTCTACTCTCAAGTGCCCAAAAGTAAGAATAAGATCTTTAGTTGCATTTTTAAACATAGCATTTCAGAAAACATGTAATACAAAAACTAATATTGTGAGTCATCGACTGGAGAAATGTCATGGCAATTTTCTTCTAACCCTTTTCCCCTGTATGGAAGGGTATGCAATATATCTTAAAGGCTGTTTTCTCTAATGAGTAAGACTCACATAAACACCATTTTTTTACAAATAAACAAAAATACATTTAATTCCATCTACAGTATATTCTGTATATCCATAGGGGTTTGTTCATATATCATAGCATAATTTATATAATATTACATTCATTATATTATGCATGGCTGTTGACATTGATAAACATGAATATCCCAAAATTCCCTCTGTTGATCTCTGTATTGGTTAACATAATTGAACAATTTTGAACCTGGCTTTAGCCCATATTCAGATACACGTATTTAAGTAATCAACCGGGGGGGGGTTATATTTCATAGTTATATCTATTGGAATAAACTGTTACCCTAATCACCTGAAGTGTCTCCACCTTATGATTAAATATGACTGCAATATAAATATTGATTTAAATTAACGGTGATGTGAGAGTTGGTGATTAGATTTTCTCGAAATATCTTTTATTTAAATGATTATTTTGAAAAGTTATTTAATATATCTTATCCATAAAATATTCATATATGCATCCTGGGTTTGATGTGTAATGTCTGGTTGTTTGTAATTAATGTTATTAAACATAACGCTCCTAGAGGGCAGGAGATACGCCATGGTTGTTTTGACACTCTAAAAAAAGGCTGCTTTACCTAAAGTGTTGGAGGAGCTTGGGACTAAGGATTTTCATTGCCATTTCTACACTGTAGCTACCGTGCATATGACATTCAAGCCTTTGAATTGAATTGTGACACAAAATTAATCTTAATGTCCGGAAATGCAAATGCACCTTTCAGTGCAACCTTCTAATGGGCGCTTTTTGGGGACACAGTACATTACTTTTCATTGAGCGCACCAGCTGCCACCTTTTCATTTACAGCTGTTCCCCCTTGGGTCCTTAGTTGTTTCCTGCTTTTGCAGATTAGATTTACTTCTGAAGAGGTAAACATATGTTCAGCTGTATTAAAACACATGAAGGTCCAACACTCAGTCATGCTCAGAGGGATTGGTAAACAGCCTTTGAAAACCCCAAAACCGAAAGCTTCAATATTCCTGAATCGTCATGAAATCCTTGGCAGCAGATCTGTGTCAGACACAAATCCAGCCTCAGTTTAGTATGTTCATGTCTGCTGTTTGTTTCTGCACAGATTACAGCAGAGAATTAATGTTGTCAGCATGTGCACACAGCTGCACATCCTTCTTAATGCTTGCATGGTTGCATCCATTAGTGTGTCTAATGGCAACAATGCATGATTAATACATCTCAATATGGACTGGCTTAGAATTGATTCAAACAGCAGCAGTGATCATTTTATCCCCCTGTGTCTCGACAATCCTGAAACATTTGTGGTGTAGCAGTTGAAAGCTGTAATTTAATCTGTCTCCTCACTCTCTTTCCTCCAGGCCCTCCCGGCCCCCCTGGAGTGGTGATAGTGGAGGAGATCACCGACACCACGGCCACCCTGTCCTGGACTCGTGGCCTGGACAACCACAGCCCTATCAGCACCTATAATATACAGGCCCGCAGCCCATTTTCATTAGGCTGGCAAACTGTCAAAACAGGTAATCAATAAGGAGCAAATTGCAGCCTCTAGATCCTCAGGTTAATGTGGCGCCATACACAAATGCTTTAATACGGCGTAAAGTCATGTACGGGGATCCTGATTAAGCTAGGATTTAAAATAAATAATTCAAAATCTCTGCTGGCAAGGGACATTTGTATCTGAAAGGTTTTCAAATCGATATTCAGACAATTACTATAACAGCAAACGACTATTTGCTGCATTAATATATGTGTTCAACACAAGGAAATGCAGATGGATAGAAACGCTACTGCAGAGAAGTCATTTGAGAACAAAATGATTTTGTGTGTTTGTTTTGGTGTTATGAAATATTCAGCTGGAACATAACTGTTTCACATTTACAGGATTAAACTACCAAAATAGTCAATCAGTTGAATAAAAATGAATGAGTAAGCCTGTAAGCTAATTCTCTAATTCCACTGGAAATCTGCATTTTATACTGACTGTGGCATACGATGCAGATGGTCAGTCTGAAATCTTCCCCAAAAGTTAAGATTGTTCAACATAGTTCAATTTATAACATGTAAAAACTGAACGTGGAGTTTTAATAATTGATTTTAATGACCTTACCGTTTACCCTCATATACTGAGCTTCATGGGAAATTGCATCTTACACTCCACTGTGCCAAATCGTGATAAAGACGTTTTTTTTCTCTCAAATGCCTGTTTAAGAAGATGCCGTCTTGTGGTTGAACTTGGCTGTTGTTCAGTAGAGATTAGCAACAGTTCTTTGAGAAGATATCAAAAGTCAGTGCGTCAATTATTTTCAGTGGTGAGTGGGAAATGAACCCTTTAGGCATGGATTATAATACTTATTTTATTAAATATTTACTGTTAAAATGTGCTTATCTTTTCTGTCACTTTGAGAGAAAACTATCAATTACAATCACTTAGCGTTAAAGGATGAAGGCCTGCTAAGCATTGTGTGTAATCCATCTTAATATGCCGTGTGATGGCAGAGTTTAAGGTGTGATAATGATTCGTCCCCACAGATTTATAAATCATACTTTGTATACACTCCTCTCACATCATGTCTGTTCAACTACATTTAATTTGATAAAGCACAATTAGGGCTCTGTGATGTATTGTCGGTGTTGAAGTTGTTAAGATTAGCATAAAGGGGGGGATTGGGTTTTTCGCTCCCACTCCTCTCAAACAGAGTTATCAGCTCATGTTTGAAGAGCAGCTTGGTTGACAGAGTGGTCTCATTGTGAGCTGCTTTGGATGATAAGAGTGTAAGCTCCTCAGCGTCATGAATGTTGCTTTAGCATACAGAGACCTCCGGTTCATTTGTGACACGGATATGCTTTCAGTCAATGTTTGTTTGTTGCTGCGGGATCAATATTGACAAAGTGTGATTATGGGAGTCCTGAAGAAACTAGATTAGTTGTGTTACCTGCTTGTAATTCTGTTCAAAGTACATTCATAAATCAACTTTTTTTCAGTCTCAGGATGGGATTTACAATTACATAGCTGTATAAGTCCTCTGTGGACATTGGTGGAAATCAGCTTCCCTCTATGATGTAATGAGTTGTACTATAATGTGCTCTAAAGCTGCGAGTAAGCTGATATTTAGACACCGAAACAACATCATATGCCAAGGTTTCCAGTAAATTGTGTATACCGTAGTCACCACCTTGTGAACACAAATAAAAGCCAAGTCACAGTAGGTCTGTAGGGAAGCTTTAATACTTTGCAGTTTTTAAGAACCAAGACAATGTTTTTTTGTGTTTTGGTGGTTGTCCAGCTTATTGGATTTTAAATGAAAAAAACGGCTTTAAGGCTAACTCACAGCTTTTACACACAGGCGTAGGAATTATCCCACAGTTTTCGGGAACAGAATGTAATTCACCAATATGTCATAGTCTAACAGGGACAGGGATCATTGTTATGTTTATACTTGGCTTCTGGGATTTTATTATGACATGTCTACATGTTTCTGAAAAGGTTAATTTCCGTGCCTGTCTCTTTAAACCCCCAATTTCACTGGTAGCTCTAGTATATTCTAATGAGACCAGGTGGGACATTGAACTGCTTGTTGAATCCCACCATGTTTTCTGATCTGAGGCAGCCCACCAACAATAACTATTCTGTTGACATATTTCACACTTCCTGGGTTAGAAGAGATTCCATATTCCCAAACGTATGTGAACAATAACTAAGAAAGTGAGTTTTTGTATGATATGTCACCTTAAAGTAATCATATGAAGCCATCATATTCATCTTGTATAATCGTTTTCAGTTAAAAACCTGCCTGTTATTCAGGTCAGGAGTCTGCCTTGGCATTATAGCACATAACTTTCAAATGATCAGGCCTAACACAAAATTAAGTTTGACCGATTGCCTGTTTGTTAACCATAATTGCCATGCTGCAGACTTTGTATTTAAACGTCTATGATTCGAACCCTGTTTACTCAATATGGATCAGAACAATCTCGGACACCCTTAAAGCTGTAAAGTCTTTCAGGGAATGTCTCTACTGAAGAACAGGAACTGTGATGTGGTGCTTGTCCTGGTTAAATACACATGTGACACTCTTGTGTGCAGACCCAGACCCAGTGACAGGAGACCTGGAGTCAGCCATGGCAGTGGAGCTCAACCCATGGGTGGAGTATGAGTTCAGGGTGGTGGCCAGCAATGCCATTGGGACCGGAGATCCCAGTGCACCTTCGAGAGGAGTTAGGTCCAAGGAAGCAGGTACATTCCCTCAGCCTACAATACTTGTTATGCACTGCATTATACTCACATTATGACAGACAATAGCAATCACCAACAGTCCAGAAAGATGTATAATGAGAGCTGATGATTGATTGTAGCTAGAGCCAGTGGTGCCCCAAAATGACACTTCCTAGCCATGTTGTATTCCCATTGTTAATTCTCCATTTGAATTGGGCAAAAGGGTTGAAAATATTTAATAATATTTAATATAATAATTTCAACAAGTGTAGTGTTTTTGTCTAAGCATCCTTTTAATGCCCTGAGGCTTGGACACAACAACTGCATTATTTATGGTGAGCAGAAAAATAACTGAGACAGTCTTGATTAGGCGAGCCGCTTCACTACCTGCTCATTCCTCGTCTATAAAACACGATAATTACAAAGGTCAGTGGTCATTTGGAAATGGCTTATTTAATGTGTCCCATCTACTCAGCATGATTAACAGACTAATTACTGTATCTGCACACGGTTGTGTCCTTAAAGTCATGTTCTGTGATCAAGCGAAAGAGAGAAAAACGCACACACGGCACCGAAACCTGCCATCACTTTCAATTTGATTGACAGGTATTTTACTGCAGGCGCAAACACCAAACAAAGTTTTTGATGTTTTCTGAAACTGGTTTTGTTTAAACATAGGTTTGTTTACTCGAGCAATGTTTTCAAGCACATCATGAAAACATTTTATTTTTCAGTTTGTATTGGTTGACTACAAATAATGAATTTGTTAAATTATAATGATGAATGAAAACATTTTTGTTGTGTTTTCAATTAGCAGAACACTTTAATGTGGTCTTAATTAACAATTGGTCCTAAATAACAATACAAATAAGGAACAAAAACATAATTAGTGAACGAAAAAGGTGAAGGCTGAAGATTAAACTTCTTAAAAATACTCATTATAATTTCTTGGCTCATTATTTAATAGTTAAACCTTTTCTGATTTTATTTTAAATAAGCATATCTTAGTTTTTGAATTTGTTTCAACAACTATATTTGTTAACCTTTTAAAACAAATTGATAATCAAGCTGCACATGCTTGACTCTTTGTTGCAACCATTCCAAAAATAGAAAGTGTGTATAGTATATAATATATATAAAAAGAGAGAAGACTATTTCCCTCAGTCCAATTTCTCTTTTCTTTATTTCAAAAAGTGTTGGAGTGAGTTTTGTGCTGTTGGGTCAGTGATGCATTGTTAACCTTTCTGCCTCACACAGTCCCGAAAGTGGCACCATCGAACGTCAGCGGAGGGAACGGCCGCAGGCACGAACTGGTCATCTCGTGGGAGGTAAGGTCCTCTGCCAAACTCCCTCTGCAGCACAAGCGTAACAACATATGTCCAAAAAAGGCAAATGTCACAGTGGGTCTGGTGTTTCAGTTAAGCAAACTCAGGAGTCATGATGTTACTTTACAGAACATTCTCTCGGTTTGTAAAGAAACAGATGCAGAAACTGCCAAAGGTCGTGCACTAATTATAATGGAATTAAAATTATATTTTTCATTAGTAAGCGTGCACTAAAGTGTCCAGTATAATTTAGAATGAATGAAAAAATGTGTGTCATTTAAATAAAATGCAGAAATCTGGGCAATTCCATTCAATAGATAGGATCCACATTAAGATGCTTGCTCATAGTAAACCTGTCTTGAATGTCAATGAGTTGCATTATGTCAACAGATGGCAGCACAATGTTATGACCCCAACTAAAGATGTTACCAGTTTTCACATGAGATGCTCAGGAATCAGTTACTTTTACTAATCCACAGGTAATGAGACAGACAAGACAAATAAGTTTGACTTAAAGGGGCCCTATTATGCTAATTTTATGGTTTCATATTTTCATTTTGTTCCCCTACTGTGACATGATAACATGCTTTAATGTTTATAAAGGTCTTTATTTGTATCATTCTGCCTGTGCCGCAGCACCTCTTTTCACCCTCTGTCTGAAACCAGAGCCCAGTCTGCTCTGATTGGTTAGCTGGACTGCTCTGTTGTTATTGGTCAATTGCTTAGAGATGTACCGCCTCTTAGCCTATCACGTACAATGTGTTTGAGCACTAGCCAATAGAAGCATGAGTGTTGAAAATGGGGGTGTCACATAGTGATGTCAGTATGAATTAAACAAAAGACTATGCATCCATGCACAAAAACCAATAGAACACACTACAAGAAAGGGAAAACCTTGAATTACCTGGATATACAATTAGACAGAGTTTAACATGTATTTATTTATTTAAGTTATATTGTATTGATACAGCATGAGTCCCCTCAGACCTTTAACCTTGGACTCAACAAAATCATTGTACAGTATACTGTAGTTCACACTCTCTGAAACAAATACATTCAGCCGCCCTTAAAGTAGCGCAGTAGCTTCACAGTGATGTTAATAATACCCATACTGAATTTAAGGTAAAAATAATACATGCATAACATAATAAACATAAATGCTGATTTTCCATTGTGTGATTTATGAGTTTATTTTCATCGAATTACCATGGTGATCCTGTGAGATGGTGTTTGTCCACCTTTCCTGCGAGTGACTCTCTGAAACTAGCAGTGACATCCTTGGCATAAAAATAAAATAATGACAATATGTATAGGAGAGAAACAAATACAGGGTGTGAACATTCATCATTCAACTTGAGAAAGTTACACTCCCCCTGATTAAACACATACTGTAAGGATAAATGTGTATGTTAAGGAAAACTGTCAACTCCCGCTGATAGGAACAATTCTGAACCCTTCACAAGAATCAGTGTCACAATCCACTTGTGAAAACAATGTTATATTTAAACATTTGTGCTGAAAATAACATTCCCTTGGGAATTGACCTGTCACTAAGTAATAATCCTGCATGTGAATTTGACTTAATAATCACGCAGTGGTTGCTACAGCATTGTGAATTCATTAAAAACCTTCATTTTGTGTTGCCTGGGAATACATGTCAGACAATAAGGGGTATAAAGCATGGTTGATGGATGACGCTAGTCCTTGTGGTTCTAAAGCTTGAAGGAAACGGTTTAATGATTTTAAGATATACAGATGATTGCATTCGTTTACAGTCAGTTGCATTCACTTGAGGTGAGATTTGATGAGTAGTTTCGTTCCGTGTGTGCTAGGGACCTGCGTTTGATGCAGTCCTATTCCCAGAACCATCAAAGTGGGATCTAATTAAAACATATAGAGAAGTTTCAGACACTGAAGTGAAAGAATGATGACAAGAGTCTGGAGATGTTCTTAAAGGTAGGAAGATGGATGTGTTGAGGGATTCTGTGGAGTTTTTAAAGAGCAGAACAGAGCACAGGAGACTGGCATTATCTGAGCTCTGACTATTTCTAGCTAGATTAAATATTTCACATTGCCTTTTATAAACACATTGACAAAAGGATTGCATGGCTTTTGTGTCAATTTAACTTGCAGAAATTAGACAAAAAGAAATGACGTACTTATCAATGCAACCTAACTGTACTGCTAGCAAAATGCCATCTGTGTGCTCCTGTGCTACTTTTGTATTTAACTCTGTAATATGCATATTTTGGCACAACATCTTTATGTAAATGAGCCTCATTACAAAAAGAGTCCAATTCAGTAAGACTAGCTCTGGCCACACACAGTTACAGTTCATTTAAAAGCATCTTCTGAGAGCTGGTTAAGCACAATACTGACAGACTAGGATATATAAATCACATCAATTATATTCAAAAAGATGTAAAAGGATAATGTGATGACAGTTTGGACAGAGATACATTTAAACAATAACACAATATGAACCTAACAATATAATAAATCATAAGCAAAAAAAAGGAAAATTAAACTCACTGTCATATAATTAGCCAATTATCTTTAGTGATTCAGATCTTTGGTCAGGGTAGATAGCAGCTCATTGAAACGCAGAACCATTAACAATGCATGTACTTAAAGGTGGGGTATGTCATTTTGGATAAACCAGCTCGAGTGCGCTAGAATTTGAAAGTACACAACCAGAAAAAATCTGCCCCTTCCTTCAGACTTCCTTACAGAGCCCCTCCTCCAACACACACGAACGTGCACATGACCAATGAGGGCACGAGATAAGTTTGTGCACAGATGGAAGGCTGACAGGCAGGTAGGCCATCCAGTTACTTTAGCCGGGCCGGCTCAGATGATTGGTCGTGCTTTTTACAGCGCCACGGCTTCCACAGATGACATTATTGTATGTATTTATTGTCAAAGAATTTAATATATTCATTGCTATCGGGATGTTAAGAGCATTCCATGGAATATAACAAAAAGTGTTTCTGAAATAAATGACATACCCCACCTTTAAATGAGAATAAATTAATAGATTCAAATAGTATGTTTCGGCTACAAAATATTTTAAAAAAAATATTCCAAATAGTCATCGATCGTGTTATTGATCTGGGATTGTTTTATTTATATCTATCTAATTATATCAATATAATTAAATAATATGTTCTTGTCACCAGCATTAAATATCCTAAGAAAACCAAACTAATAATAAACTGATATGTTTGTATTAACAAGATTGTCATAAATACTTAAATACTCCAGCAGTCTTGTTCCTAAGGAAATATTAATGAATTGTTGCATTTAGCACAGCTTGGTGTTGAGCTAGATGCTTCAGTCTGATAAAAGCAGTGAATTATTTGACTGAATTTGACTTCAGTCAGCATTCCCTGTCTTAATGTGTTGCTGAATGATTGTTCTAAATTTGTAAAAGCATAGACTCAGCTTATAAAGAGAGTACACACACAGTTGTTTCATACTGTAGCGTTATCACTAGTCCTTTTCAGCAGACAACAGGTCAGCACCACAGCTGTAGAAACAAAGGTACAATAACGCAAGTGTAAAGTATATGATGTGACTCCCACGAAGCCATGACCCTCCGCCTTTCTGGTAGAGAAAGGCGAGATAGATGCACATTATATCCAGAGGGATAATACAGAGGTGGAGCTTTTAGCCTTCACAGCTACATGATATTAGAAGAGAAGATCTTGCAGGGTGACCTTTTTTCCACTTGAGATGGAAAACCCATTCTACATAATTTCCTCTGACTCGAATTCACTGAAATGTATTCAATATTCAAGAGTTTGATTATTTTGCGTTGGAAAGGAGGCTTTAGGCCAGTAGGGCAGGATGTTTTCCACAAGATCAGAGGTTGAAGTTGTTATTGGAAAGAAGAAATGCTTCTATGAGAAAGAGATTTAGGCATCTTTGAGCATTAGGAAAAGCGCTATAGAAATCCCATGTATTATTATTATTATTATATTGGTCCCAAGGGAAATAAAATAGTGGCAGCAGCAAATAATGTCAACAAGTAGAGGTAATGCGAACAGATACAATTTAAAACCTACGAAACCTCAGTTGTACGTCTGTGTTTGAGGGCCAAACTTGTTCACCATTGAATAATTTGCTGACAAAGCTTGAAGAAGGCCAGCTGGTCCATGTATTAAAACACAGCCAGTGATTAAGATGCTGTGAATTTCAAATTTGGCCCCACCAGAGAGGCAGAACGATGATTAACCTTGAATCCCTGAGTCATTCCAAATGAACCCAGGGATGTTGATGAATAACTGTTTATAATTTCAATCTTGACGATGGCTGTTAAAAACATAATAACTCTTGCATCAAGTAAAGAGGATATTACTGTGAACGGTTTCCAAGTGGACAGCTTGGCTCTAAGCCAGGTTCAGGGCACAGCATGTACAGAATAGCTATGAGCGACGCCGAGAATTTGCAATTGAGATCAGTTGAAGGATATATTAACAGGGGAGCAGTGAACAGATGTGGAGGCAACTGACAGTTATTCTTGTAGCTATTAAGTATGGGAGCCCAACTGCCACTGGGAAGATAACCTTCACATGAGGGGAAGTGCCCCTCAGTGGCACATTATGGGGGATAATGTCCATTCCAGAGAGGGTGTTTGGTGGTACACCATTTCCTGTTTTTAAATGAGAGTTGTATGATATAAGGAGTGTCATTAAAGGAGTTAGTAAAACACAATTTCAACCTCCTCATAAATAAATGCAGGACTCCATGTCAGAAGAATAAACCTAAAGTTACACCATGATTGGTGCTTGACAACCCAGTCAAAGAGTCCTTTCAAGCCATGCATGAATTTGAGTAAATACAAAATAAATGCCATGTATTTGATGATCTCTTGATGAGACTCAGGAAGTTGCATACAGTGTCTGTGGCATTTCAGATGCAACCCGCCATGAGTGCTACCATTTGTTTCTTCAACAAATGCCTCAGCATAAAGCTGAGTGTGAGCAATATTTATTCTGCTCGTTTGTTTTTTTTAGGCATTTTTGCTGGTCAAATCTCTTCTGAAGAGTACTGTAGAGACAAATTATCGTTTTTCATTTCCCCGTTATAGGGCAGAATAATTGGTCACCAACCAATAAGTGTCAGTTTTCAAGTGCATCAGGACAATGTGGAGATTTAAATGCAGTGTCCTCTTCTTGCCATTTTAAGTCGTTTTAGCTTTGCCCTATTTCGTTTGGTTTCAGCTAAATGCTCTTGGAAATAAATCAGGACTTCGTCAGTGATCAATTGAGATGGATATTAGAGGAGACGGAGCAGGAATGTTAGCCCTTTTTGGCAGTCGAGGCATGCGAGTGCATGGCAGTTCTGCCTCTCCAATCATCTGTGGAGAGTTGTCAGAGCCTGGACGGCCATGGTGGGCAGTGTTATTAAGCAGGATGAATGACTAAACAGTCTCTGCAGCTTAATTCAGCCGTCTCATTACAGTCAACGATGAGAGACTGCTTTTTCTCGGGGAGCCATTGGAACAACCATTACTGATGCCCCCACAGTCATTGTCACTGAGCCCAGCAGGCCCGGCTATATCCATCACAAGACTTACCTCAGTTATCACGCTGTGTCCATACTTATCTATGACTATCACAATTCCTAACCCCTCGACTGTTTCTGGACTTAACTAGCTCATTTGTGCATGCTGTTTTTTAAAGACCCATATTTCTTGGCATGTCCTTAAGAGCATTGCAAGCTCTGAAAATAACTTTGATGGAAGCTAATTCATTTTTCACTGATCAGCCCCGTAATTAGGCAGTCATGGTGATTGGTCGTTACTGAATGAAATGTGAACAACGCCTTACGGGGACAATATTACTTTGAAGCCTATTCAAATCAACACATAACAACGTGCCGAGGTTTTTGTTGCCAAAAACAGGTGTACAGGTGTTTGTCATTTATTAAATTTAGCCAAAGATTTAATCCCTGCAGCTCATATTTTAATTAAATTTGAGCTCACTTAATGAATTGGCACTTGATTTGATTAAGCACGGACCAGCTGTGGAAGACAGCTCCCCGTTTCACCACTTCAGGAAAACTACAGATGAGCATTGAAGCCAGCAGACAAAACCTATGTCCCAAAACCCTCAGAAGTGGGAGATAAATAGCAACATAATGGGTACAACTGTGCCAAATATGATTCTCAAGACTGACTGCATCTTTATTAACACTGGCAGACGGAATTCTGTGTTTTGTTTAATTCCTTGTACAGAGGCTATTTAAATGATAAAATGTGAAGATAATGCACCTTCAGCTGTACAGTACTGTTGCAAATGCTATTATAGAAAGCCAGGTTTGGAATTCATCTCAGTGAAAGACACGTTTGGATGATTATTTCTTTCTTTTTGAAATGTTCAGCCTATATCTGAGGAATTCCAAAACGGTGAAGGCTTTGGGTATATCGTTGCATTTCGTGCCAACGGAACTAGAGGATGGAAGGAGAGGATGGTGACTTCAGCCGACTCTACAACGTACAAATATAGAGACGAGACCTTCCCTCCCCTTACCCCATTTGAAGTGAAGGTCGGAGTTTACAACAATAAGGGAGATGGGCCGTTCAGCAAAGAGGTCATCATCCGTTCCGCAGAGGGGGGTGAGTTAACATTTGTTGTTGCATTGTTTTTACATGAACAGAGAAGATGTTTTTTAGAATGATATTAATATTACCATTTGTACTGGTTTCACAGAGCCAAGGGAAGCACCATCTGATGTGAAAGCTTACAGCTTTTCTTCATCGGAAATTAGGGTCACGTGGAAACCGCCCAATCCTGGCCCTGGAAGACCAAAAGGATATGAGGTGCTTGTAAATTGTGTGCTCGGGGGAAGTTGTGCACATGTGTAAATAAATATACATGCAGTTTATAATTGTTATTTTACCTCTATACATTTGAGCATGAGTTGAAGTTTGGAAGCAGTATATAATTGATGTTTTGTTTCTTTCATTGTTGCCTAGTTTGTCTGTCTGTAGCTATGTGTCTTGGCTAGTTCTTCTTTGAAAAATACATCCTGCCTCTCAATTGGACTTTCCTGGTTAAATAACATAAAACAATTATAATATCAATCATTTATGTTTACAGCTCAGCTACTGGAAAGACATGGAGCAGGAGGACTTGGGGAAAAAACAAAGAACTTTGAAAAACGAAACCTCCATGGTCTTGACAGGACTAGAGGGCAACAGTCTGTATCTCATCACGGTAAAAGCCTTCAACAGCATCGGCGAGGGTCCTGCCACCGCTGCTGTCACTGTCAACACCAGGAGAGCCCGTGAGTGCACCACTGACACTAATCATGCTATATTATATATGGAATAAAAACTATACCTGTTAAGTTGGCTCTAAATCCCCTAGTAATTGACCTAGTTGGTTGAAACTCTGTTTAAAAGTCTGTTTGAATTGAGTGTGCGTTCCTTTCTTAGCTCCTGCTCAGCCTCCAACCAACCTCATGTGGATTCAAGAGGGCAACAACGTGACTTTAAACTGGGATCCAGTGAAGGCAAAGGACAATGAATCTGATGTCATCGGGTACATGGTAATGATCAAGTTCATTTCTTACCATCAAGACATACATAAACATTCATGCAAAAAACTTTAGATTTTGGATCAAGCAAATTGTTCCAGAAGTATTTTCACCACTATCAATAGAAAGGCAGGATTATTTTAACACATTTTTTTTAGAAGTTATGCTTCTACATGCTTTTACTGTTAAGCTCTGAATTGTACTCCACCCATGTTATTTCAGGTGGTGAGAATCGTATATCTGAACTGTTGCACATTTCGAACCTTTCATCCTCACAGTTGGAAACAAAATATCACACAATGGATTTAAGCAGGGGTGCACATAACTGGTACGCAGGTAACAATCTGAAATGCGTACCGTCACTTGTGTCACAAAGCGCATTTGTGTACCGACGTAGCCTACTTGTGAAGCTTTTCCAGAAGGCGGTTAGATCACCGGACGACAGAGTCGATCTCCGTGTGCACAGACAGGGCTGCTGTTAACGTCGGTCTGTACAAAGGAATTGTGCCAAAACTACGCCAACCGGCTGCGGAGGGAGACTCCCCCCCTTCACTGGAGAACTGCGCTAAAACAGCTGATCACAACGTTCACGCTCTGTGGAGCTAGAAGTTAGGGCTGGGCGATACTATTCGGATTCGATCCGATACCAAGTATTTCAGGGCCAGTATCGCCGATACCGATACCTACACTTTTTAAAATGAAAAGCGTCTTATGTACTTGCATATAGGAGAGAGCTGCATGACATGATTTTTGAGCTGAAAGCATCATACATAGACTATCTGAATTCATTTTCATGATTAAAGACAGGACAGTTTTTATAGACAAATAAACGTTTTACTTTTATACAATACAAAGTGGCCACAGTAGCGAACTGCCTTCTTGCACACATCACAGTTCGCTAAGTGTTCATTGGCAGTTGTGAAATAGCTCCATACAACGCTCCTCTTTCTCTCAGCCATCATGCGCGTGTGTGTGTCGCACTCGCGAGTCGCTGGCTGCTGCTGTCCTGCCCTGCTGGCTGCTGTCAGTCAGCTTGATAATCGGCATTCAGGCAGGGAGCGCGCGTGCGTGAGCCTCGAGGAGAGGAGGACAGCAGTGGAGAGAGAAGAAAAGAGCGCACTTGTGTTCGTCTGCACTCTGCACATAGTTTTTGATGAAATTGAAAAGTAGAGGAGAGGAAAAAAAAAAAGTATAAAAGTATCGATCCTATTGGCTCTAGTATCGATATTTTGAAACGTAACGTAATATCGGAAGTATCGATATTTTGGGATCGATCCGCCCACCCCTACCAGAATTTGGAGTACCAAACACTCACTCCAGGTACTCATCTGAGTACCTCACTGAGAAAGTTATGTGCACCCCTGGATATAAGAGTTATCTAACATTGCAAAGAGTGAATCGATTTAAACTGCTTAATATATTTCAAGGCCAATCTGAAGTGTAACCGTGTCTCCAGCTTGCCGATATCAGTAAACATCTATGCATGCAAATAATAATATAACAATATTGAGTTCAGTGATTGGACATTTTGAACTGCTAATTTATTTGAATTTGTCTTTAAAGAACCAAAAATGTTGCTCATCCCAACTCTTTGCAGATAATTAGCCTAGGCACTAGAAATTATTTTGCCCATATTACTGTTACTCTTTAAAGGTTACACGGCATTCAGTGTTAAAATAGTAGAAAACCAAAATTTGGCATATGTTAAGACAAAGTCAATGTAAAGTAAAGTCATCCTGAGTCAAACTCCAAGACGTAGCCTGCTGGTGTGCGTTATAGTACACGTGAGTCCGTGTTTGTATGTCCCACTGGCAAGCTAATGGCCACCTCCCCACACTGTGCTCCTACAGAAGTTTCCGCTGACATTTTCCGCCCACTCTCCAGTTCCCCAGGTCAGCACTGTTGCCGTTAATGGCAATGTTCACGCTGTTAGCAATGTTAGCTGCTGCCGCAGGCTCAGCCTTCAACCATGTAAAAAGCAGTGTGGAGGCAATCCTTCAATCACAGCTTTGCTCTTAATCCATATTGAGACCCTTTAAAAGGAAAGAAAGTTTGTAAATGTACAATTTGTATGATTTGTCTGTTAACATAACATTAGAAGATGGCTTCTCCTTTCACCTCAGCAACACAAGCAAGCCAATTTAGCCATCTTCAGTTTAGCTAGCTAATGGGCATAGTATTTTTGTTCAGACAGGAGAATTTAGCGGAGCTTCCTGAGCTTCCGGCTCAGACTACACCAATTACAGTGTCAGCCAGGGCAGAACAGAGCCCCAGGGAGAACAGGCAGAGGAATGGGCAGGGAATTGCCCAGAAACGTCCCGAACATAGAAAAGTGAAACAGGAAAATAAAATACAGGCAGAGGGCTCTGCAGATATAGACACACTCTTTTAGTGGGCCTCTCGTAGGAAAAATCCTACACATACTACTCATTGTGGCTTAAATATCTCATTATAGATGAACAATAATAAATGTAAACCTCAATTGGCTTTGTGTGCGTGTCCTGCAGGTGTTACTTAAACAGGAGGGCAAAGGTCACAACCAGGTGACCAGAACCATCAACCCTTCCACCATGCTCTCACTGCCCGAGGGAGGGACCTATATCATTGAGGTGCGCGCCCTCAGCGAAGGGGGAGAGGGGGCGGTCAGCTCCCAAGTTCGAATAGTCACCTCATCCGGTAAGCCGAAGCTATTCAGTGGCCTCTCAGGCACATACTCAATTAGATGACTTCTGATATCCATCTATATGCACAGCCTGTTTTCTTTTTGTAGCGATCTTATGTTCTGCCCCTAATTGAGTCGCCACAGCTGTTGTGCCAGCCAAGTTTTCCTTGGCTAATACTGTTTTAATTACATCGCCCACACCAACCCTTCTAATCTTGCACAGCCAATTAACTTTCAAGCAACAGGACCAAGAGAAAGTCAGTCCTGCTTGTGACTTTACGAGCCAGCTTTACAGGGCAATACAAATATTTCTCCCCAGAATCAGAATACCTGTATGTGTCCCACAGAGGGGAAATGTACATTGTTACAGCAGAAAAGAGCCATAGACAGATTAATGTTACCTAAGAAGCATGCAAAATATTCTAATAAAAATGTTTTTCACAATTTACAAAAAACACATCCTGTAACAGTTCTGAGGATTTAGCAGCCAGGTATATATTGCACAGTTATTAACGGCATATATATATATATATACAGTGGGGCAAAAAAGTATTTAGTCAGCCACCAATTGTGCAAGTTCTCTCACTTAAAAATATGAGAGAGGCCTGTAATTTTCATCCTAGGTACACTTCAACTATGAGAGACAGAATGGGGGGAAATAATCCAGGAAATCACATTGTAGGATTTTTAATGAATTAAACAACAACAAGGAGTGTTATAGTCTGTGTTGCAGCTCTTTGTGAAAATATATAGCATTAAACATGGATGCAGTTCCAGCGTTTTTGTAAAGGGTCTCTCCTTTCATCTTTATTGACTGTTCCCCTCCCTTCTCTTAGGTGTTCGAGCAAAAAGCAATCAGTGCTCGGTGCACTGCATGCCACAGAGCCTAACATGGACAGCCCTGCTCCTGGTTCTTCTGGTGCCTTTAGCTTCCTGGTGAAGCCACTGTGCCAACCTCATGTTCATGGAGGGAGCCACCAGTCCTCTGCTCCCTCGTTCCCTCTGACTGCCTGCTCGCTTTGGCCTTACCCATCCCACAGGGCCCGAGGCCTGCCAAAGGGGGTTGAGTCTGCCAGTCATCATACAGCTCTCCAGAGTTGAACCTTTTTAAGTTTCCTGTTTCTTCTGAGGCCCTGGACATTTAATTTGCACAGTTCTTTCCAGCATCACGATACTGTTGTACTGTAGTGTACAGTGTGTGGAAAGATGTGTTCAATCCTTTACTTTGACATCATGTGTTCCTCTCATTGAATGGCATCTAACTAATTCCAGACGGCTCCTACAGATCTGGGGCTCTACAGAGCATGAACAATTCCTCGAAAGCTGCTGTGGTAGTAATACAGGGATCAGCCAGCCTGTTTCTTTTCATTACTTATTTGCATCAATTTACCCCTTGGCTGCCTAACAAGCAATGCAGCAGAAGCTCAGTAGAGATAAGTGCATTGTTTTCTTATTCACTCATTGAGGAGGAAAGAACGTTTTTTATGGAACCAAGAATCTTACTATTTCGAGACTTGCTTTTGTACATTGTGTTACCTTTAGAGAAAAACACAGTGGTATGTGTCAGCTATGTCAACTCTGTTTTTTGGTAGTGATAAAGCAATGCTTGGTGATACAGTTGGATGTATGGAGGTAGGAAACAGGTTCATACCTGTAGTGCTTGAACACATCAAAAGAGAAAGACAACTCTGTACGGACTCTTGGTGTCAGTACAAATAAATGTGATGTATATTTTTTAAATGGTTGTTGTTTGTATTTTCTACCCTGAGAAAAGATATATATCTGACAACAATAATAATGATTCACCTTATTGGTCAATGAACCGAGTCTTCATACACATTTGAAAGCCCATGGGGACATCTTGAAATGGTATATATTACAAAAAACTCCCTTGTCCAGTGCTGGTATAGATACATTTGGTTACCTTAGGTGCCTTCAAGCCCACTAACTATGAAATAAGACGACCCAGTCAGAGTTTTGTGGGCTGCCTCGGTCAGAAGACTCTCCTCACCTTCCCTTCCATGTCATATACATGCTCATTAAAATATATCACCTTGATTCTGAGTTTCTCCACCAACAGCCTGAGAACTGCCTTTGCAATTTATATCGCAAGCCAATCAGAGCAGTCTGGGTTTTTTGGTAATTGGGCTTTAAGGTGGGAACAGACAATATTTGGAAAATGTTGCTCGATAAATAGCAAATTATTTATGGATAATATAATGTATTGATCAACTTATTGACAGATCAACCTCAGCACTAATGCACATACAATATATTCCTACAATAAAAACGTACTATGCCACACTACTTCTATATTTCACCTGGAATTGTTTATATCTGGTCCATCAGACAGTTCTACACTTTGAGAAGCTTTATCTAAATGTTATATAAAGTATAGCTTGATTGAATTCCACACACGTGGCATTAAAGGCCACATAACTTTCTGTGATAAAAGAACCACTGCATCAAGAGTATTTCCCCCTTCTCTCAGGCTACTCTCTTGCTTGTCTGCAGTAAAAGCTTATCTCTCACTGGGCAGAAATCCAAATGAATTTGCCTCAAGTGTAATTAATGTTGGAATGAAGAACTGTAGTCCTGAAAGTCGCATGCTTGGGCAGACCTTTTGCTCGCTCTGCCTCCAGCTCTCTGGACTCTGCGAGACCTGGCTCACCTACTCAGGTTCAGACAAAGGTAGTAGCTCAACCACAAGAGATGTGACCACACGGCAAAACTAGAGGACACAAACTGCTCCGAGCAGTGTCTGTCCCATGGATACTCCTCTTTTTTCATACCTCTCTGTTTTGAATATGTTCAGAGGGGGAGGATGGTAAGCGTGGTCTCCTCTTTCTAACTTGTACATCATATTCGTCTGTAGTGCAAAGCACTAAGCTGTTTAATGTGGATGGAGGGGTTTGCAGTGCTTTTAGCCTGTTCAATGACGTCGGCTCAAACACATACCTCCACACAAGTGCTAATGTACCGACCTTTAATTATTCATGCAGCACCTGTCTGTGTTGGCGCATCTGATTTATGATAATGGATTATGTATCCTGCAAGGGGACCTTATTGGTTCAGAGCGCCAGAAGCTATAGTGTCAGCAATTAAAATATGAACTCCCCCTAGGTTAATGTCAGAGTCTGCGTGTGTGTGTGTGTGTGTGTGTGTGTGTGTGTGTGTGTGTGTGTGTGTGTGTGTGTGTGTGTGTGTGTGTGTGTGTGTGTGTGTGTGTGTGTGTGTGTGTGTGTGTGTGTGTGTGTGTGTGTGTGTGTGTGTGTGTGTGTGTGTGTGTGTGTGTGTGTGTGTGTGTGTGTGTGTGTGTGTGTGCACTTGAGTGTGTGCTGGGGTATACTGTACATTTTAGTTATCTCTAATATTATTTTAGATCCTTTTTAGTGGGGCTGGAAACAACAATAGTTTGTTGGTTAATCTGTCAAAAAAAGATTATTGGATCTAATTTAGAATCTGATGTATTCTGCTTACGATCAACAACGTGTCAGTTTTACCCTACTTAAAATATCTACACACTTGTGGAAGAAGTAACTATTAGCATTGAAATATTCTGTGTTTTACTGACTGTCTGTCTCTGTTTCACATTTCATAATGTATGAATACCTGTGTTTTCGAAGGGGAAAGAGTCAGAGCATCTAAGCGTTTGGCTTAAGGAGCCTCACTACACTTGAATGCAATAAATCTCTATCCTAGATAGTGTTGGGAACACATATTCTAATAGCAACCCTGAAGCTGAGGGATTCATCATATCTGCTCCAAGGACACTCTGGAGGACAGCAGGACGAAGGCTAGCTCTAAGGACAGCAGGGATTGCAAGTTGAAGGACAACTGTACACGCCCTTAATTTATTATCTAATGTAGTTGCAATAAATATTATATTTTGTAATTACATATCGAGAGAGATGGTATAAAACATGGTATGTCAAGTGTCTGTCCTGTGGTTCCTACACCAAATGGAAAAACATGGTAATATGATATCCCAGCAAGTATACTACATCCATTTATAAGTGTTCTTTAGCCTTTTCAAACTTACAAAGTCAAGTTTTAAATTGTTTCACTGGTATTGTTGTTGAAGGATTCGCTCTGTGATTGAGTGCTGAGCTGTGACTTTGCTTTTCAGGCGGGTCACAGTTTATTACTCATCCTGGAATTGCCAGAAGAACTAGAGCCCTCCAACAGGCGCTGCGGCTTCAGTTGGAGGTAAACTGTAGCATCAGACAGTGAGTCATTTTCAGCTTTGCATTTGAAAAATGTTTGCACACCAACTGTGTTGCATTTACCAACACGTATAATAGGTTTTAAATTATTCAAAAGTTAATACTGTTAAGGAAACTATTGAGATGTAGCCAGCGATTTGTTGACCATATAAAGGGTATTGGAGTCAAAACGTTTTTCTAGAAGATTGTGGTGCATTATTGGTGTGTGTCTATGCTCCAGCTCTTAAGAAATGCCTCTTTTTTTTAGGACCACTCACTGGTTAATTAAAACCCTAATAATGGTTTCACCCTAATTCAATTGTGTCTATAATATTCTCAATACGCTTTAATTAACTGTTCTCAATTCATATATTTCTACCAATGTATGTATGGTTAATAGTCTTATTGAAATAATTAAAAGCGTGTGTGATGTGGAACCTTCTCTGGTAATGAAACATTCCCCACATGAGATTTCTAAGCTGTTAAATGATATATCATCTGAGTTATTTCCTGTATTAGCTGTGAAACAAAACATTCTATGTTTTCTGTTAAATGTAAAAATATAACAGCTTATTTTTGTGTTCTGTCGGATGTTCCTGTGATGTTTGGATTTTCAACCCATTGGTTCCCGCCCGGCAGTGGTGGAGATGGCAGAGAATGAGAATTAGGGAAGTGTGCCATGTTCTGCTGAAGACTGTGAACAGAGGGATTAAAGGAGCAGCTTTGCGGGGAGAGTCAACATTCAGTATTGTATTGCACCAGTCCAGTAATTATTGAAGTTATAATTGAACTTGTCTTTTGACCTCTAAAACCATCTGTACTGTCAGGAAGCCACAGAGCATAATGTGTTGTGCTGTTGAGCTTTGCAGGACATAAAAGAAATGCCTTTTTTTGTTTGTTCAAAGTATCCTCATTGAACCATCCACAATGTATTCATCAGACTGTCATGCTCCCTTTTTGCACCACTGGTTCCCAGACAATGATATTGGTTAGTTGGACGGTCCAGCCAATACTTTGGTCAATAGTTCACTGTGGCTTGGCAACTGGAAGGTCACTAGTTCAAGTCCCGGAAAGACAAAGTGCTACTGAGGTGTCCCTGAGCAAGGCACCGTTCCCTAAAACTGCCCCCCAGCCAGGTCCGGACTGTAATGTAGGTATTGAGAACGCAACACTGCGCAAATGTGGGTCTGACTCTGCCTCACAGAGGGTGACTGGCTGTCTCCATGATGTGGCCTGCCGACATGGCCACTTTCATACAGATCATAGTCTACTAATGCCCTCGATTGGTCTCTCCGTGTGTCATTCAAGCTGGGGAGGGTGTGTATGTGTGGCGCGAGCGAGCGAGAGAGAGAAAGCGCGCGCACCGGTTAGTGTATTGTTGTTGTTAGCATCTGGTGCTAGCTAGCTGCGCTAACGGATATAATGAGCTGTCAACAAGGTGGAGGAGAGTCCTCTCCTCTCAGACTGAGAGACTGATAACTACAGCTCAGGGGCCTCATTTATAAAGGGATATATGCTCAAAAAATGGCGTACGCCAGTTTCTACGCAATGTTTGCGATTTATAAAATACTAACTTGACGGGAAAACGTGCGGTCCTCCACGCAAACTCTAACCCATGCGTACGCACTAAGCACAAAAACGGGAGAGACGAGAAACTGCGACACCGCGTTGGCAGAAGGAAGAATGGAGAGAAATATGTGGAAATAATATGTTACCTCTCATTTATCATATATGAAGAATTCATTTTCAAACATTGATTAAAGCCAATCTTAAAATAATTAAACAAACGCCTGTTTGAGACTCAGTGCACACAAAAACATAACTTGGAGAAATAAATAAATACGGATATGTTATTTAAAACCACCTCGAATATGTTGTGTTAATGTTATGAAATGTTTTCTCATAAATGATGCGGTTTTGCATTTCCATAGGTTGTACGAGCATGGTTTTATATACTACCATGTTTAATCATGTTTTATGCCATTTGCTAAGACTTGATAAGACATTGCGTACCAGCGGTTTCCTCGCCGGTACGCAATGTTTGGTGAATCGGAAAATGTCGGAACATTTCTGTACCTATTTTTTGGATTTCTACTACGTAAGCAACCTTCCCACGTGAATCCTACGCACGGCGTTATAAATGAGGCCCCAGGTGAGGTAAAGGACTCTCTGAGTGTTTAGATATTTAACTTAAGTTCTCTGTGGGTCTCAAACGGTTTGGTCACCATTTATGTGAACACATATTTCCATTTGAAGGGGGAGTGATTAGTGAAATATGCATGAATAATAAAAAAAAAAAGTTAACTAGGTGAAAAAAGGTAAGATACACTTTAAAAATCTGTTGAGAGCTAAAACTAGTCTTTGCTGCTGCCTCAAAGAGGAGCAGGGGGGAGACAGGTGAGGCTGGTTCAGTAGCACAGACACACTCACAACTATAAATGAACCAAAAACAAATAAATAAAGAAGTTTCAATGTTTTTTCACATTGAATATGGTATGTTATTGGTTATGGCCATGTTCTTATGATTTTATGATT